TTCCTATTTTTTCTCCATTGCTTTGATGCTGCCTAACAAAAGTAGGGAATATGTTTTATTAATGCCTTCTGAACTAGGAGATATCCTTATCACTACTTAAATTTGCAGATTCATCTTTCGGGGAACATCATCCTAAATTTTGGGACTTCTTAAAAAGGGCTTGTACAAAGTTAATGAAGATTTTAGTCGCTATCCAGCAGCGACATCCTTATTCTTTCGGGGATAAATGTGTCCTTCCACTTCTCATGAAATTCTGTTTAAGCAAGATTATAGATCCTGAACCACATATTATGTCTTTTGAGCAATTCATGATTCAATGTATGGTAATGGTGAAAACCATTTTGGAATGTAAAGAGTATAAGACAAGATTGACAGGGCGTGTCGTTGATGAAAATAGGGTAACATTTGAGCAGATGAAGCAAAACATATCTAGTACGGTTGCTGGCCTTCTTACTTCCCTTTTGCCTACGGACCGGGTTGTGCTCCTGTGTAATGTATTGATAAGGAGGTGAGGCATCCCAACTCTTTATGGTCTTCTGTTGTTGCTATTTTTATTTGAAGAAATCGATTTCCTGAATTAAGGCTTGCAAGCACCACATTATAAATGAACAAGATTAACAATTTTTAATGATCTTTTGGTCCTCATCTCCATTCTCATTTGTGGTAGACCAGTCATAACATCCTTAATCAATCTAGATAGTCCAACTTGAGTGGTGCTATTTTTGGTGCCGTAGCTCGCTAGTAGTATTAGATGATGTTCTCCTCATAACAGCGTTTGGTCTTACAGGGTTATTTTAGGTGTGTGTAGGGTGTGAAGGAGGTGGAGAAGGTGCAATAAAGGGTAGTTGTATTTTTAGGACAGTGCAAAATGATAAATCCTGCTATGTGAGATGGCCTATTCTGACTTCTGAGGACATTAGAATAATTGAAATATCCTCTTGATCACTTGTTGTCTTTCGAAACGCCATTTTGGTACCTGGCAAGCACTTTCAGTTTGTTGACTTCAAACACTCCGATTTGCACAATAAACTGAAAAGAGCATTTAGAAGGGAGTGAAGGTGGAGATTTATTCTGCTATGTGAGATGGCGTATTCTGACTTCTGAGGACATTAGAATAATTAAAATATCCTCTTGATCACTTAATTTTGGTACCTGACAAACACTTTCAGTTTCTGTTGACTTCAAACACTCTCCGATTTGCACAATAAACTGAAAAGAGCATTTACTTATCAAAAAGAAAACCAAAAGAAGGGAGTGAAGGTGGAGATTACTTTCTTAATTTCTAGGTATCATCTGAATGTCCATAAGCTACAAGGAAAGGGGGTAGTTTGAATATGAATTGATGGTTCAATCTTCTGAGAGAAAATTTAACCCCTTGTAATTAAAATATGTTGTTGTGACATGTCTCTTTATTCTTGCAATTTCTCCAAATGTAGGTACTTTGTTCTGACTGCAAGTGATATGGAGGAATGGTACCAGAACCCAGAGTCTTTCTATCACGAGCAGGATTCAGTACTATGGTCAGAGAAACTAAGGCCTTGTGCTGAAGCTCTATATATTGTCTTGTTTGAAAATAATGGTCAGGTATGTTTACCCCATTCGCTGTGTTATTCGACAATCTTAACATATTGCCTTAATCCCCGTATGAACCTTTTATTTAATCTTCAGTTGCTAGGACCTGTTGTTGTCTCTATTCTGCAAGAGGCTATGAGTGGTTGCCCTTCTGCAGTTAATGAAATAACTCCGGCACTGCTTCTGAAGGACGCTGCCTATGGTGCTGCTGCATACATTTACTATGAGCTCTCGAACTATTTGAGTTTCAAGGATTGGTATGTGCTTTGATATGCTGGAAATATTGCTGAATCAAATAGATTTGACCCCTCAGACATGTTCTAGAATTTTCTATCCTCTACTATATTACCAATGGCATCTGAAACAGGGGATTCTCTTAAAATTCCAAATAAGGGAACCCTAACATGTCAAAAAGTTAATCAGTGGTGATAAAACTAGCTAGAGCAACCACACTAGCACTGGAATGAGCCATTTGGTCCTTCCAAAGTGGCAGTTAACCATCATAACAATAAAAACAAGCCACAAGTAGTACAGGAATGGAAGTTGCTATTATTAATAAATCCCTTTATCAAAAACAAAGTACGGGGATGGAAATAGTAACCACTGTTAATGTGACTGATAAAAGAACCACTGTTAATGTGACTGATAAAAGAACCACTGTTAATGTGACCGAT